ATAAGATGCCAATTTCCTGACAGCCAGAGAGATAAATAACACAGTAAACATGAGAATCGTCACTTGGACAATGAACAAGCAACTAGAAAATCTAACTGAGTCTCTGGAGACGTGGGTATACAGACGAATATGTCATATTTTATGGAAACAAAAACAGTCAAATTTAGAGGTTCTGAAAAGGCTACAAATGAAAAGAGAATTACTGAAACAAATTTAATAAATAAACAATTCAAATACTTTAGCCAGTAAAAGACATAGAACCCTTTAAAAACTATACTGGAGGGAAAGGCAAGAGAGCGAGAGGTGAGCAACGATAGAAGTGGGAGGACAATATCAAGAGATGGACGGGTAGCAGTCTAAGAGAGCGTACAACCAGGAAAAGGGACAGAGCGTGTTGGAGATCCCTTGCAGCCAGCTTTCCCTGTGGAGACGGCAGCTGACTGAGTGATATAAAAATTATTGTAAATTATTAAAATTCGTTCTAGCCCTAAAACAATTGATACCAAACCGATATTTTTTCTTTCTGTGGACGGGGACGATGTGTGGTACTGTGTCTTTGTTTTTGCTAGCAGCGAAAAGCGGGTTTACTTCCTAGCATAATGCTGCAGGTCGTCATCATCATCAAGTACCTTATCGACTGGCCCAAGTCCTCATTCGGCAATGTTGACGTGACCGACTCTATTTAAAGGTAAACCAAAATGTCGGGCAACGTTGAGAGTTCTCGTCTCTCCAACTCACACCCTGAATTTAGCCATGGACACCTTTTAGACACTCTGGATTGAGTACCAGAATCTACTAAAAAGCCGTAAGTAAATCAATGTGGTTTGACTAAGTTAGGATATTTGACAGTGCATCTTAGGAAAATTTAGTCTGATGTGGAAATATGTACTGTTGTATGTATGTGTGTGAACGTTTGAAGAATCAGTCTGTCTGCTTGCAACCCCATTCCAACCCATACTGAGCGGGGGAAAAGGGGGGGAGGAGCTATTAAAGCCTTGTTGTCGGTGGTTTGGTTGTATTGGCGACGTTGTACACCAACACAGTATTTGTGTAATTGTTGTATATGGTTATATAAGTTATATTCAAAAACATGTATCGCCCAGGGATTACAAAAAAGAGGGTAAATAGGTTCGAATCTCTTTGAGAGTTTAGCAGGTTATGCCAAAGAGGTCGTAGAGAAGGAATCATACATACAGATACGTGATGTTTGGGAAAATTATAAACCACAGATAAAATATTGTATCAATATTTTTTATAAAACTGACCTCGTAAATGCATTTATCATTTAGAGATTGGTTCAAAAATAGAACTATGAGAGCAAAATGACGTCAACAATTGCTAGAGATCAAATTGTTCATAAAAGGTAATCCGTACAGGAGACGACTGGGCGCTGGGGCTTTGTCGAGAGGCGGTGGCTTGGAGAGAATGTTCATGTCTCAATCAGCACGTACAGAAACACACACACAGGAATACACACATACACACACACACAGGCATACAGAGAGAGAGTGAGAGAGAGACTGAGTTAGTGGCTAATATATGAGGGGAGAGCCACTGAGGGGAAAATAGATAAGGCAGCGAGACACAGACAAAGACAGAGAGAGAGAGAGAGAGAGAGAGAGAGAGAGAGAGAGAGACTGCGTGAGTGGCTAAAATATGAGGGGAGAGCCAATGAGGGGGAAAATAGATATGGCAGCGAGACACAGACAAAGACAGAGAGAGAGAGAGAGAGAGAGAGAGTCTCGTTAGCACTTGGGCGAATGAGAAAGAAACAATAAGAGCGAGGGAGAAAATTGCGACACTGCGAGAGAGAGAGAGAGAGAGAGAGAGAGAGAGAGAGAAGAGAGAGAGACAGAGAGAGAGAGAGGGAGAGAGAGAGAACGAACGAACAAACTCTATTTTTAAGGGTTAAAAATTATGCAGGCAGCCCCGTCTTATAATCGACACATCCAACCACTCATCTTTTATACCACAATTGTATGTTATCAATAATGCATGCTGTTTCTAAATAATAGTATACATAATGTATACACGCAACATTGTATTGTATACACACAATCAAACACACTAAAAATACATACGTACACACTCTTACATTCTTATATATACATACACAGATACAATCATAAAAATACATACATACATACATACATACATACAAACATACATACATACATACATGCAAGCATGCATGCATGCATGCATCCATCCATGCATCCATCCATGCATCCATCCATGCATCCATCCATGCATCCATCCATGCATGCATCCATCCATCCATCCATCCATCCATCCATCCATCCATCCATCCATCCATCCATCCATCCATCCATCCATCCATCCATCCATCCATCCATCCATCCATCCATTAATCCATCCATCCATCCATCATTCCATCCATCCACCCATCCATCCACCCATCCATCCATCCACCCATCCATCCACCCATCCATCCACCCATCCATCCACACATCCATCCACACATCCATCCACACATGCATCCACACATCCATCCACACATCCATCCACCGACCGACCGACCGACCGACCGACCGACCGACCGACCGACCGACCGACCGACCGACCGACCGACCGACCGACCGACCGACCGACCGACCGGCCGGCCGGCTGGCCGGCCGGCCGGCAGGCCGGTAGTCAGACAGGCAGACAGGCAGACAGGCAGACAGGCAGACACGCAGACACACACACACACACTTACACACACACACACAGACAGACAGACAGACAGACAGACAGACAGACAGACAGACAGACAGACAGACAGACAGACAGACAGACAGACAGACAGACAGACAGACAGACAGACAGACAGACAGACAGACAGACAGACAGACAGACAGACAGACAGACAGACAGACAGACAGACAGACAGACAGACAGACAGACAGACAGACAGACAGACAGACAGACAGACAGACAGACAGACAGACAGACAGACAGACATACATACATACATACATACATACATACATACATACATACATACATACATACATACATACATACATACATACATACATACATACATACATACATACATACATACATACATACATACATACATACATACATACATACATACATACATACATACATACATACATACATACATACATACATACATACACAGAAGGATGGAGAAAATGAAAAAGCGAGAGAGTGCATTAAGGGGAGAAAGAGAGAAAGTAAAGGCGCACGGGGTACAAGGGGGAAAAAGCGAAACAATGGGGAGAGAGAGGCAACGAACGAGACGAATTAAGTGCAAGCATGTATTCGCACGCGCTAGAGAGAGAGGGCGACAAAGAGAGAGCGGAAGGGAAAGAGATACAATCAGAAGGCGCCTGTTAGAGAAACTGACGAGTAGAGGAAGGGGAGAAAACTAAGGAGTGAGAGAAAACGGGACAAATAGTGCATGCTAGAGTGAGGAAGAAAAAGAGAGAGAGAGAGAGTGAATGAGAGAGAGAAAGACTGAGAGAGAAAGAGAGAGAGAGAGAGAGAGAGAGAGAGAGAGAGAGAGCAATACAGCAAGGCAGAGAGAGATAAGTTTGTTTGGTGCATTGTTAGCCCTCAACTTGAATGATTGATACCTGTGTGTGTGAGTGCATCCCACAAGAGACAGACATTCATTGCATCAGTCAAAACAGTCAGACTTATTGATGCCAACATGGTGATTGTCACTCACCCGTAGACACGGAAGCATATATTAGACACCGAGATGACAAAGAACACTAAGTCCCAAAGTGTCATTTATAATTGACACTGACGTTTCTTTACAACCGTTGATTGTTGGTGACGTAATGGTGAGTTACTGCCATGGATTAGGAATCCTTTGAGGAGGCGTGGGTTTGAAGTGAGATTATTACATCTGTAATATTTAACCAGGGGGGTGTGAATGATGTTATCTTTCCGGAATTCATCCTTTGTTTTGCTAGACTGTCCATTTGCTGCGGCTTGTCCAGCAGCGAGATGCCGAAGCATTAAAACGGCGAATGGACGATTACGCTCAGAATGGCGTAGCAATTTGCACCAACAGTGAGGTGCAATTTTAGTTTATGGCCGTTGGTGTTGGCAAATCTAACAACAGCATCATGCATTTTATTGTGCGTGTGCAAGCCTCAAGATGTTTCTGGGATCGACAAGGGTTTCAGGCTCTTTCGTGATACACCCCAGATGACGTCATGGGGACAGTCCAATATTGTAAAGGGTGGTGAGACCAGATTTCCCGGCTTTGTTGTGCTTTTAACTACCCCAAAACACATCGAACTTGACCTAACCCCAACCCACCTACGTCCCACGAGAGAGTGCAGCATTGGTCCCATGGCTGCATGCAGCCTAGGTCCTACGACTGCATGCAGCCTATCTACCACCCCCTGAAATATTGAACTGTCTGTCTGGGTTAATAAAAACGAAAGCACTATTTTTCCCGGGTAATTTTCAAACAAGGCAGTGACTGATTTTGTGTGATTTTCGTTGTCAAAGGAACGGGTTAGTTATGGGTCGACCCGTCTGCGGTGACATTGGAATCCTGACTAACTGACTGTCCGCTTAATTTTAAACAACTAGACTTGCGCGGAAATGAGCGCAAACGAGCACTAAAACAACTGGGCGAGGCTGCGCAGAGGGCCTCGAGCTGGCTCTGGACACAACGAAACGTCGTGAGGGATGGGCCTCGGTGAGCTGGTCCGGGTGTCTAGTGGGGGGGGGGGGGGGGGAGTCTTTTTCCTTAAAGCCCATCGTGTCCGAATTATCTGCCAGTGTCACTCTGCCTTTGCTAACAAAGTCTAACATGTGTCCGATAAACCAACCGTAAGCTTGCCACTTGGTCGTCGAGGTATGCTGACCGCTCTAATTATGACCATAGCTACTATGTAAATACAGTATCTCACAGTACCGTTTGCAAAGTCACCAATTTCGTCTTGTCCCTAACACACATCTATGGGACAAACCCAGACAATACTTTGGGACAACGAAAAGCGTACTTACCCAACAGTAAAGTCAACACATCGGATATAGCCAGGCTGAAGAGATAATAATTGGTGGCCGTGTGTAGGCACCTGTTTCTGGTAATCACTACGCAGGTGCACAGATTGCCCAAAACTCCGGTCAGAAAGATCACAATGTACAGAAACGTGAGTATTACCAAAGCTGCCGCGCTAATATGCCTGGGCCCTAGCGTGTAGGCCAGATAATCCTCCTGGGAGATCAGCGATACGTTTTCTTCTGATAAGTTTCTCTCCTGAACGCCATTACTGAGGTCGCAATAAGCGATGACCTCACCTGTCAATCCACTAGTCAGCCTCCGGACTTCTTCCCAGGTAAGGTTAGTTCCCAGGTAATGATCAAAGAAATACATGCTGTTGTCGGTATGGTTGTATTGTGGGCTTGTATGGTAGCTACTACTTGATGAAGTGCTGTAGAGGTTGCCATGGTTGCTGTTGGCGTTGTTGTTGCTGGGGAGTGTAACCTGTAAACCATCATAGCTTCTGCTTCTGACGCTTAAGTTGAACCGGCAGCAGAAATCTTCATTAATTTTTAGATAATGGCTTCCATCAGCCATATTGTGGGACTCGCACAAGTTTGGCTCTGTTCTCTGGAAGAAGACACAAAATGGCGGACAGGATTTCCGACGGAAGAGGGTTATGGATGCGCCGAATGTTGTTAATCACATCTGGGATATGTAGGACAACACCCAGCACAGAACCACGTATGTTCAGATTTAATCAAATGCGCAGACACACACTTGTACTAGAAGGTATGTTCTGATTTGGTGGCAGATGATTATCAATGACTGCGGCTCAGAAATATGTCAGCTTTCCTCTCCCATGCTTCAGGAAATCGTTGCTGCTCTTTGTCCTATGCACCTAAAAGGAGATCCTAAATGGAAAGTCTGAGTTTGCCTGTTCTATAGACGTTATTCTGGGGAATGGTATATGGTTGATTGCTAGGATGGCAGTCTCTTACATTAAACAACTCAGTTTGAATCCTAAGTAAAACACGGGATTTGTAGTTGTTGACAGTAAACTAGAAGCGAACACCTTGATAAGTGCTGCATGGTGCTTGCCTGGGTAACTGACTGAACCTTCATCCATCACGAAAACCTTCTTACTTCAACATTGAGAAACATTTCTATGACAGGTGGTTAGGGATACATTCCTCAACGATAGATGACAGTTAATAAATGTACACATTCGTAATCACATATGATAATTAATATGTGCACATTTTTATAAGGACAAATAAATCTGATTATCAGAAACCGCCGACAAACTACTCAGGCCACATCAATCAAGGTATGTTCGGCTGTCGCTTGTTAAGTTCCCTAACTCCCAACATCTTCATCAAAGATCTGAAGCAGTCTGGAGTGCCGAATTTCAATCGTTTTTGTCTAAGATGTTACATAACACATATCTATTTTCAGTGTTCCCAATCTGCATATTTGTCTGCTGAGTCTGGGCAGAGTCATTTAAAAAGTTACTTTTCCATCTTGATAAGGTTAACTGCGTTATCATTTGTATCTGCAGATGACCGCAGAGGACTTTCGAATTGCAGAAAAAGCGAGGGAAATGTCGAGTTTTCTAGCTCCAAGTGCCAAATCACTGGTATGTGCCTGCCTACCTGACATGCTCATTGGTTGCCTCGCTTTGAGTTGTCTATAGTTGGTATCTGGGGGAAAAACAAATCATAGTATAAAAACAGTATTACTAAAATTTAAATTAAAAAACGCACTAGAATTATTCTCTATCGTCCTTTTCAGGATGACATTTTTTATTTGAAGCTCCACCCTGGCTTTTGCCGGGGGCTGCAATATAGGCGGACCATAAATGTGGCCAAGTGTCTGAACGCGGTTTCTGGAACCTCTCCACGGCGATCCTCATCCGCATGATGGCACTTTGTGTCATCGGGTGTTTATCGCTTGTGTGATGTCCTGGTGGAGTAGAAAGTCAGTCAGTCAGTCAATTTAAATTAATGACTCAAAACAATTACATTGAAAACCCGCTTTGTTCACAAGGTTAGTTTTGGAAGTGATTTTTAAGTCGGTTTCTTGTTCTTCTCTGTCGCTCTTTAATGCCAAGATGTCTGAATCAACCAGCAGTAAACCTTCACTCGCAAGTCCTGGATAGGTAAGACAACTCCCATAATATTGCTCATGTCGCCATGTTTGCGTATGTATGGGATTGTGTGCCCGTTTACATAAATATGTGAGTGTGGCGGTTTTATTGTAAGCTAGGAATCTTTGTTTATTTATTTGGCTCTGTTACTTACAATAAAACATCATTCAATATAAATATATTCATGTTTACTAAACGGATGTCCTATCCAGTCTAGGCGTGATTGCCTCATCAAATGATCCGCTGTCATACAGCCAAACCCCCCCCCCCCCCCCCCCCCCCCCCCCATACAGGACAATATGTTTCTTTGTATAGCCCGTATTTCGCCCCAAGTAGTCTGATATATACTGTTGAACCGGGTTTTTGGGATTTGTTCCTCTTTGACTAATATCGCAAAAATCGCTTTTTGAGTCGGTGGGTGGCTAGCCTTTTTTTTTTACAGTTTCAGAAGAAATGTATAAAAAGTTGATGCATTTAACTTTCTGCTTGTGTTTGGTAATAGTATAGAAGCTCATTGTTTCGGGGTCATTAATTAGTAAACTTTACACAACATATCAACACACTAAGTGTACTACTTGTCTGTTCACTAGCCCCAGCCCCCCCAGCCCCACTCTACCCCTCTATGATTGCAATATGAAACACTGAGATTAAAAATTTAAAATATCAATCTGGATGATGAGCAGAGAGGTCCAATTCAGGATATCCAATTTAACATCCAAAGAAATTATAATTGAGATACCCATAACGGTCACAACCAGTCCTGGTATAACCTACAGTGTGGTGCGGGTAGCGATGTGTGCCAGCTCCAATCGGGCCATATGGGATCAAACCTGGTGCATTGAGGTCAATCCTTTCCACTACAAACATTAAACAATGCAAGTGAAAGAGTTGAGTTATAAACCGACAGCATAGCAAACGGGACATTCCCTTAAGCGCTTCCTCCTCATCTTCAGCAGCCAAAGCAGAGTTAGAATGCTAATGGTACCAGCAGCAGTCTGAGTGTTTGACTGTCTGTCTTGCCTTTCCTCTGAGTGTTCAGTATCGGTCACATCACTTGGTTACTTCCAGCTGCACGATTCTCTTCAGACTGTGATCTATTTGCGCTTCATCAATGTTTGGTCATTCCAAACGGCCTTGACAACGTCTGGCTTGACATGCTTTAATGTATCACCAAGTGATGCAAAGACGGCCAGTCTGTCTGTCTGTACGTTTTCCAACATACCAGCACTACCTGGAGAAAAATAATCAAACATCGTTAAATACTCAGGACCTCTAAAACGATGCTTTTTTGTACTAAAAAAAAACATGTCTCCATATTTCATAACACTGTCCATGGATACACTGCTCATGTCACTTTTATGATAAGCAACAACAGAATCTAACACAATATATTTCCTTCACAGATATTTCCTTGTCAGAAACATATATCATGCCTAATAATTATCTCCCATTTTCTGTGGACAATTCCGGCACGAACATTCTCAAATATATCCCTAATCTATGATTTTATCCCTCCCTAATATCTAGTTGCATCCTCACATAAATCTATGTTAAATCGAGCCAGGATAGATTCAGGTGTCATATCGTGAAGATTTGCCAATGGAGGGCTGATCGAGTCGGGTTGTGGCCGAGCCTGCTGTTGGCACGTTGTGGGGAATTTGTGCAGGCAATTATGATCTGTGGTATTTGTAGTTCAGATATCATTACCTAAGTTAAACTTAGTTGCCTGATGACTTTATCGTACGAATATATTAGCTTTATGATCATTATTACTTTCTGTTTCTGTTGATCCTGGGGGGGGGGGGGGGGGAGCAGAAAGTGGGCAGAGGGGCAGGGGAAGGGGGGGGGGGCTACTGCTGCTGCTACTACCACAAACACCACCAGTACTACAATTACCACTATTACTATACCTACTGCTGCGACTGTAACTATATTGCGTTTACAAATTCGAGCAGATGTTAAAAAAAATGTCTTGGCCTAGTGAAATGGGTGCAATTATATATACATATTTACTTAATTTCCAACGTTATGTCACAGGTTTTTTTTGGGGGGGGGGGGGGAGGAGGTGGGGGTGGGGGGTGTCTCATGCGTGTAATAAGAATGCATTTTGCTTTTTCGAGGTATATAAGTATAAACTGGTCCTTGCTGGGTGGAATTTTAAGAGTTATACAGCAAAAAGTTCAAATTTAACCGATCGAACTTTCACAAAAACACATGTTTCTTGTGTTTTAACGTAAAATCTGCATAAGACCACAACTACTGCACTGAAAGTGTTGCAATGCGTTATCAAATGATGTATTTCGTCATTTCCGTGTTTTATCACAAGTTTTAATACTTAGCTGATGTCGTTAGTTGCTAGGTAATCCTCAATGATAATACACTGGTAGGAAAATAACTGCTTAACGATCTCGCGATAAACAACTGTGGAAACAGTACAAACTTCTGTCATACTTATAATTCACTGCAGCGCTGTAAAATTGGTAGGTTGCTGATGTAAAGAACAAGGAAAAGGGAAAATGTCTGTTTTAATACAACTGGGCAGTCTAAATATAATTTATGTACAAAATATTAACGCTGAGATGAAAATAGGATCCAGTGCACACAATAACGTTCCCGTGTTTAGTAATTAATGAGAAAATAGGAAAGTAGAACAGTGAAAATTAAAGAACGCGCTATAATTCCATCATAATTTTTACTTTCACTTTCTTTGACTTTCTTTTGTTAAAGCGTATGCCCTCAAAAAAATTGACGCCAAACGTTAATCTCTGCTACCTCTGTCAATCTTTTCTTTCTTATCTCTCTATTCTTTCGCATTTCTCTTTTCCTTGTGTTTTAAGATTATTTACTGAATAAAGATTAGATTGTGTGTGTTGGCAATAATTTTCTCTTTAGAGGCATCGTAGAAATACAAAGATACAAAGAATAAGTGACGAAAAATGATAAGGCAAACTTAACTGGTGGAAACAGCCGCTTTAAGAGGTGGGAAACACGAACATCTATTTTTCTTCACGTTCACCGGCTGTAAACTCCGGCGGAAAATTCTGGTTGCTCGTCCACTTGTTGACTCTAGTCCTGTTCCAAAAAATAAGTGTCGGGTGCATATCCAATTTCACATCTCTAAATAATTTTCATGCAGATTGATGGTTCCTTGCCTCTCAGGTAGATGCACTCCAACTTTGAAGGAAGCTCTGAATTAGTCTATTTCTACGACATGCTTTGGGCAGGCAGTGGGTCTATTCTTGTTCTCCCTACAACTGGGCCTTGAAACCCACACGGGGAATACGAAAATGTTATGACAACAATGTAAATGAAGATTGTTGGAGGGGAGTGGGGGAACATGATCCATTAATACGCTGAGATATTAAAACCGATACAAAAGCAGAGAGAAAGAGTTTTCGCAGAAATACGAAATTTGCGAAAAGTATCCACACAATTAAACTACTATACT